TCCGCGCGGGTAGTTACCACTGCCCTGCCTATTTCTGCCGTGAAGCAGTAATGCGTTTCGGTTTGATGGGTAGGGTAGCCGTTGTAACTATACTGAGATCTTAGAACTTGTATCTCAAGGTGGGTGGCGCATTTACGTTGTAGATGTCCATGGGCTCCAGTAACCACTTAACACCAGGCGGACTGTGAGCTCGTCCACCCATCTAAGCAATAAAAAAAAGTCAATTGAAGCGGCCTAAGATTAAACCAAAACTATAACAATATAAAATAGGTAGTTGTTGTTATAATTTTGGTTACCTTGACTACCGTTGCGATTATGAGCAGCTGATGAGCAAATTTAAACACGACTCTGGTCAATCATTTAAGTGAACATTTTTAAGAATGCACTAAATATAAAACATCGATAAACTACACGTTCTTTTGTTGGTTATTAAAACCAATTACACTAAAGCAGCGGTCGGGGAACCGGGGTAAATTACCCCAAATGGGGTAAGATGAAATTTTGGGGGGTAAAAATGAAACCTATGTGAGTAAAAAGTATATAATATTAAAGTGGAACTTCTTTAGAATCGTTAAATTTTTTGTTATTGTTTTCTTTTCAAAATTATCATGGAGGCTTTAATATGAAAGATACTAAAAAGAAGCGATTTCGTTTCTTTTTTGTTCTTCGCCATGGGGTAATATCAACTTACAAAACAATATTTTGGGGTAATAATTAAAAAGTTCCCCGACCGCTGCACTAAAGGCATTCAAACAATTGACGTATTTAACATTCAAAATTGTTTATGCAGAACAAGACTGCTGACACCGCCATCTATGCCATCGCTTGCGAAGCTTTAGTGACAGTTTGTGTGGAACTTCAAATTGCATAAGTTTTCTTGGATTCAGTAAAACTACGGCCAGTAACAGTTTTCTTCAACAGATGGCGCCTCTAAATTAAATGCATCGGCTGTTTCCTGATTTTTGTGATAATGGAGATAGAATAATAGATTAGTATAAAATGTTAATGGCTCTCCATCTTGGATCAATAAAAGTATGAATCTAATTAATGCCTATTTTTTTTGTTTCAAATAACTTTCTAACATTTGTACTTACCATTCACTCAACTAGTATCAGTAAAAAGAAAGAAGCCCCCACGTAAAATTTAAGGGGCTATTCACTTAAGATTCATAAATTAATTAAATCTTTTTTTTTTTGCTTAAATGGATGGACGAGCTCACAGCCCACCTGGTGTTAAGTGGTTACTGGAGCCCATAGACATCTACAACGTAAATGCGCCACCCACCTCGAAAACCACCCATCTTATTAACGTATCTTACGACACTTACGACGATATTGTGACTATGTGTTTTTCTGTTTAGGAGCTCTACTATCAGTTTTCAAAAAATCACGCATCGATGGATAGTCGACCTGAAAACGCTGCGTTAAAGCGGAGTTCGTATCCAGGTGCTTAGTGCAAGTTTTTTAACGTTCTCGATAGCGTAAAAGTTAGCCCAATTTTGTATGCAGTTGGAACAGCGCCCCTAGCGGCAAACGTAGGCAAACGATCCCATTCCATACAAATATGAGCTAACTTTTACGCTATCGAGAACGTTAAAAAACTCGCACTAAGCACACAGAGCTATTTTGCCATAACCCATCCGGCACTGGAATCAACTCCCCCCAGGGTTTTTTTTCCGAGCGCTATAAGATGTCCCCTCTTCAAACATTGTTAGAATGAGGGGGCCCTAAAATTGCTATACTTTAAGACAAACATTTTTTCTGTATAGAAACTAGTGACATCTTGTATCGGGCGCCCCTAAACTTACATGTTAAAGTTTAAGGTATCTAATTATTGTATAATTAAACACAGAAAATAATAAATTATACAAGTCTTTATTTGTTATAGACAAATTGAATAATTTTGTCAATTTATGGTTTCTGAAAATTTACAAAATCCTTCATTATAAATAAAATATAGGGTAGGTAATATGTTACTGCCATCTACTAGAGCAATGAGAAACTAATCGAAGCGAAGCCATCTAGTGGCCGATGCCCGTAAACATTTTTGTTGTTGAGTTGCATATCTATAACTAATTTATGTGTATTATCTATGGTTAGAATCCTCAGCAATAGTGTGCCGCTGGCATTGCTGATGTCCATGAGCAACGGTGACTACTTACCATCGCGATAAGCGGTCGTGTTTGCTCGTCTGCCTAAAAAAAACACGTTCACGGCACATACGATATCAAGCCTCGTATGTTGTCTTAGCAACCACTAAGCCATTTGATAATTACTAAAATTATAAATACATATAGGTACTACATTAGGAAATCTGTCTGAGGAAGTGTGGGTCAACTTCCGACCCAGACTAGAATAATTACTATACGAATTTGGCCTAGCTATCGAAACTAGTACGGCAACTTTAAATACGAAAGAGCGGATTTTTGCAAGACATTTCCTTCCGAATGAATAATGCAACCCGGTGGTCAAATTATTATCTTTAGAAAACTGATAGGTATATTGTCGTATCATGGACGTTCCAAGTTTAATTCTGGGAAATGCCCTGAGGAATCATTCGAGACGATCCCGCCATCGGAGCAGAGTTCATCCATATTATCTGAAACCGCTGCGTTCATCAACAGTCTGTTTCCAAATATCTTTTTTGCCGCATACCATCCGGCTTTGGAGTGAGCTCCCCTCCACGGTATTTCTCGAGCGCTATGACATGTCCTTCTTCAAACGTGTGTTGTGGAGAGTACTTAATGGTAGGCAGCGGCTTGGCTCTGCCCCTGGCATTACTGACATCCATGAGTGACGGTAACCACTTGCCATCAGGCAGGCCGTATGCTCGTCTGCCTACAAAGGCACTAAAAAAAGTGATCGCATAATGCATATTTTTTCAAGAGAATGTCGAAACTAGCACTGGGTTTCTTTTCTTTTCTTTTACTTTATAAACTAATTTATTCCTTAAACTAATTTATTTATTTACAGTAAAATGTTTTATGTTTGGAGTTTTCAAAGTTTTTATGTTACTTTTGTCATATTCATCAATATACCGAATTTAAGCTTCGAACGAATGAGATTCGCTTAGATGTGTGTATTATATAATACATTTACTGAAAATAGCGTTCATAGGTATTTTCTAACTTGTGTCCCCGTGTGCCGAAAGAATGGCAGTTTTAAGGCAATCTATAATTTATCTTATTAGCGGTTGAATGTTTAAAATGTGAACGCTTATAATTGGTCTTTCTCGCTCATTAATATCATCAATGTCAAAGTGGTAGAAACGTTGCTTACCGATGAAAAAAAAACACAACAACAACAACAGCTTCACACGCTACAGAAGTCACGAAGATAGAAGTGAAGTATCTCAATCTCTCGCTCCCTAAAGATGTACAAATATTGTAGGATAAAGACGCTTTAGTTTCATCGGATAAGTAAATGTCATCGACTGAATTTTTTATTGCATTACACCGTGTGGCTTTGGCTTTATCAAGTTAATATGAATGAAGTTTTAAACGACTTTCCCACGGGGATTTCCTTGTACGGATCTCTGGTTTCGTCTATATCTCTCTCTCTCTCTCTTGTTATATTGATCGATAGAAAATTTTTTTTTCATACCTATTCGCTGGTAGCCTAGGGACCACGAAAGAACAAGCTCACACATATCTTCGTCTTTTTTTAGAACATTTAAATTTTCAGTGTTATTTACAAATAATTAGTATCAATAATGTTGCAATCGTCAATATTTACCGTAAAAAGTAGGTCATAGTTACATAGTTAAATGCAAATTGCTATTTTATTAAAACCGTTTTAGACTGTTTTGGACTGTTGAAGTCGAAGCTTTATTATTTCCTAAGCTAAAATTCATTAATAATTTATTAAGCACTAGAGCTCTGTGGAAATCTTACTTAATTTATTACGACTTAATTTATTTTCAATACTACCATATCTACACAAGAATTTTAAACAAACTTGTTATACAGTATTCCTAATGTATTAAGTTATAAAGTATAATAAATTTTAATATTATGTAATAATAATGTCTTTAATTTTCTGTATACTAAGCGACAGCTTCATAGGTAAAGACCTAATATTAATCGCTGTTGACGGGAAGATGAAATGATGTTCCTTTTGGTGTCAAATGGGTAATGAATTCCATAGAAAAACGAGAATGAAATATGAGACGGTAGTCTCTATTGTGTTAAAATGACAGGCCCTTCAAACTGTAACAAAGGACTGCTTTTCAATGGCAAAATCAACCGGTGTACTCTGCAGTACATCGTACTACCTGTACCGAATCATGCACAGGATCATACACTCCATGCATCACCCCACTGAGTTTCTCGCCGAATCTTCTCAACGGGTCGCGATTCCAATCCCGTAGTAGATTTATTCGCGAAGTAGCGGCTCTTGAGTTGAAGCAGCTGTTAGCTATTCTCACCCTTCCTGGCTGAGCCTTTGCCACCTGTCCTAGTGAAACTGAAAAGGCTTCCTGGGCAACACCTATCATTCAATCATAAAAAAAATCATACAATGCGGTTTTTACTTACACGTATTGAGCGCTTCTACTGTTAGCAGAAGTTTATCTTTAAAATAGAAATCGAATTGATGAAAATTCATCGATTAAAACTAATTCTGTGTGAGCATTACAATAATAATGTATTTCTTTTATTACGTGTACTAAGAATCATAGGGGGGCTATAATAAGATTTGCAGCGGTTTCTTTGTTCATATGTGATAGTGGTTCAAAAACTTGAAAGCACCCAAGGTCAATGTTAAAGTAATGGTTTAGAACAGCGATTCCTAATCTTGGAAAAGTTTGATCAGCTAGTAAGGGCTCTCTTTGCCATTTAAGCACGTAATAGGATTTTGAATTGACATTAATAAAATGTATCAAATACTGAGGATGAAAAATATATTATTAGTAAATAATAACATTACTAAATTGCTCCGTACTTCCATCTATAAATTTATTTTATTAGATAAACAAATTAAATTAATGTCGTTGTACTAGATTTTAAATCTCATAACTTAAATAGAACTTATATCCTACATTATTAATTATTTCAAGTCTTTAAATATCATCAAGTATACAATTTACAATTGAATTTTATAAATATCTATGTATATTATTTTTGCTGTCGGCTATTTCCTTTGGGTGATCGTTTATAGTGTCCAAATGTAACGCCTCCTCCAGCAGTATGATACATTTGATTAGGAAGGAATCCTCTTTCATAATTTCCTGGTGGGGCGTGAGAATGCGTCAAATGACGACCACTGGATAACGCCTCAAATGCCTCTGCAGGATTTTTGGCGAATCCTCTCCTCATATACTCTATTTGGACGTGAGAAGGAATGTAAGAGTCTAAAAGAGATGTTGGACGGCGTTTGAATGGAGAAGCGTAGGGTGGTGACTGAGGTCGGGGGGTGAAAACAGTATTGTGAATTGCATTTGAATAAACGGGTTGCGTTATAGGACGATATAAAGGTAAAGCTTTCGGCAAATGAGACGGACTACCCTTCAACAATAAAGAATTCGGATGCGGCAATTCTGGAACAGTGCTGTGCCGGTATTCTTCTCTAAGTGGAGTCCTTGATGGGTAATGTCGATGATATTCCTGTGCTGGTACCTTTTGGTAAGTCACTTCTGCGTGAGTATTACTATTGGAGTCTTCGTGTTCTTGGCCTTCGTCGATATCTGTCGTTTCGGTATATTGTACATTTTGGTAATATTGCTTAGCAGGACTATTTTGTGCTACTATAGCTGGAGCTTGATATTGCAGTATGGAAGGACGATAAATCACCGAAGACACTGTTGGCTGTGGCGCAACTGTGGGCCGTGGAGTATAATTAACAACGTGGCTGGTATAATGCGGTACATAAGTCTTTGCTGTAGGCGTCACATACGCTGGCACTTCTATGTAATTAGTTTGAGTTTGAACGGCTTCATGCTGTCCCTGATAATCGCCCGCCTGAGTGGCCCCAGCGGAAGTGTACTGAATGGCAGATTCTGGAGTACGTTCATGACCTGATTGATCATAATATTGCGGGACTAAATAAATTTGCATCGGCACGTTAGGTAAGTAGCCGACCATAGCTTGTTGGGTTGCAGACGTCCCAAATTGCGGCTTTGGTTGAACAACAGGAGCTTGTATTCTTTCTGGGGCTTCACTGACGGAATATTGGTGAAGGTAACGCGATTCCGGAGCTGGAGTCGCTTGAAAGTACCGTAACAGACCGCTCTTCAAAAACTCTAATGGTATCAGCCCTGTCTCAGAATTTGAACTGGTTTGTAAACCGTGTCCCGAATTCCCAAGTTCCGTCTCCTTTTCACTTTTTAAATTGTCTTCCTCTATGTCCTGTAGCTCTATTTTCTTTTCACCCAACACCGCACACACAATTCCCAGAAGGATTGATACCTGAAAGTAAAATTGAGAAGTGAGAATTTCTACGTCACAAATTTCATTGCGCCTGATACTAATAATAATATGGTCCCAAAGGCGCGGCGACAGGTGTAGTTGCACTAACGTAACAACAAAACAGGTGAACGGCAAAAAAATAGAATAGAACCGGCTACTTTTGCTATGTGTGATGAAGACGAGATTGCCAACTTTTACTCGTAATTTATGTGGTTAAACGATTCCATCACTCTCGCCGAAGGTGTGTTACGTGTGGTTACACTAAGTACGTTGTCTCGACTACACCTGCTATTATTTATACATTTTGATAGAGATCTGTATTTTAAAATTATTATTTGACCATCGACACGTTTTTTTTTTTGCATAGTTCAGTAATTTTATGTAAGGACACGGCGCTTTAAGAAGTGGAAGTTACAAAACAATCATATTTGTTACAATTCGTTATAAAGATTTCTAGAATGTTATACACAAGTGTAAAACGTATTGTAAAATAGCTTCATTGTTGTCAGAGCTGCATTAGAATGAAGACGGTTTTCGGTTTAAGCAAGAACGCAGTTAAAAAACCTAATTTAAGTATGTATTTGAAATAGTTAAGCTTGAACATAATTATCTGAATTATCTAATAAAGTAATTGGTTACATTTCGTTTAATATTGTTGATGCTTGCCCGAAGATAATGAATGTCAGTCATATTAATTGAATAACACATCAGTATTTTTTGCTATGCATAATTTAATTGATTGATATGAGCATGTAAGCTGCTAAATCAAACCACAGCGATGCGAAATATTGTTTTTGAACCTAAATATGTTGATGTTTTATTTAAACCTAAGTATGACGGTGTGTGCATAATTATTGGAATTCCGAAGTTTTATCATGAGAAAAGGTATGGTTTCAGACTTCCGTTAAAATTTTGTATGAATTAAAAAGGAGTTCTCTCATGACCTCTCATTTAAAACTTCCTTTCAAATAGATTGTATCTTAAGATTAAACTAATTATATAAAAATGTTAGAATTCTAATATAGTACAAATTAAAGAAAGAATGTTTTTAAAACTATTTTTTTAACAGATATAATTTAAAATAATTACGGCATAATGACTGTCTATAGATTTAGGTACTCAAGGTTAAAAATCAATGAAACGTTAAAACTTGATTATGTCTTTAATAAACCGAGGTGATCTATTGGAGATTCCATCTCTTTTCTCCTTCTCTTTCTCTCAATCTCTATCGGAGATTCTCTCTCTTCAAATCTCCTTTGGAGAAGGACATGAACTGAATGACCTTATGAAATACCGCACAAAACACGTAATGCTACCATCGAATGGTAATTTCTACTGGTAGTAGGATCTCTTATGAGTCCGCACTGGTAGGTACCACCACCCCGCCTATTTCTGCCGTGAAACAGTAATGCGTTTCGGTTTGAAGAGTGGGGCTGCCGTTGTAACGATACTGAGACCTCAGAACTCATATCTCAAGGTGGGTGGTGGCATTTACGTTGTAGATGTCTATGGGTTCCGGTAACCAATTAACACCAGGTGGGCATTGAGCTCGTCCACCCATATAAGCAAAAAAAAATGGTAAGTGCCAAAAATTATCCCTTAGATTAATTGTTGATGAATGCAACGTTTCCAGTAGCAAGGTGGAATTTAGCTACGGTAAGGAGAGGGTACTCCCAAGATTCCAGTAACCACATTCGATCAGGTAACACATTAACTTAATGCAAAAATCATAAAATTTGATGGATTCAGTTTTTAACTAAGACAAATTTCACTCACTATTGACGTCATTAAGTGACTTTCAATAAAAATATTCTATCGTCTCAGACATCGACAAACACTGTATTTTATAACAATAAATCATAGTTCATTGTGTAGGTAGTGCAATCATTTTATGTAATACGCCTAGACTTAGCTCATTTGCATAAACAAAAGCGAAAGTAACCAATTGTCCAAAATCAAAAATACCGTAGACAAGCTTTGTACTTATTTTTATTTATTTATTTATTTATTACTACGCTTCATGTAAAATTTACATTGACGGACTTAATGCCTTAGGCATTCTCTAGCAGTCAAGCAAAGGTAGTGCAGAGTAAATAGTGGTAGGTGCAATGAAATTTATATTAAATTACAAATACATACACAAATATATATATATATATATACACATACTTATAATAGTTTATACAGTATTAAAAGAAATGTATTATAATAATAAATTAATGATCGATCTTCTACTTATCGATTTACTAAATCATATTCATATTTTTTATGCATTTAATTTTATTAATGTCCGATGCGTCCTTGGCTTAAGGGATAAGTTGTCCGTCTGGTCTACTCGAGCGAGAAGACCATGCTGAGTTTCAAATCCCCTTTGGGGGGCTGAACGACAAAGGGAAGATCTTCCACCGAGCTGGTGATATTTGCTCGGTAGACCGACGGTCCGAATATTGTAGTTCAGAACTTGTATATATGCACGCTTATGTTGAACACGTGGTAAGCGAGATTCAAGCATCTGTCAAATATCTTGCGTTGTATGATGGCTACCCGCCACACCCCCATGGTTTTCCATTATGAAAGAACAGCACCATGATGCAAATTAAATGAAAACAGCAAAAAAATATTAGTTTGTGTAATTACTACTGTGATACTAGGCATATTGGGAAGTTAAACGGTTAGGCATTATTATTCTGCTTATTTCTGCCGAAAAGCAGTATACCGTTTCCCGTCCTACTGGTAGCCTAGCTGGTAGGCCAGCGAATAGGTAAGGGGAAAAGATGCATTTCCTTTATAAGTGTGAAACAGTCCCCATATAAACAATTCAATCATGACTAACTCTTTAGATGTGTGACATCGTGTTGAGCGATGCACCGGTGTTCGAATCCCAGGCGGGTGGGTACTACCAATAATAAATTATGTAATGAAATACGCATTCAACAAATGTTCACGATTGACTTCCACGGTGAAGGAATAACATCGTGTAATAAAAACCTGCAAAATTATAATTTTCCTAATTACTAGTGGTAGGACCTCTTGTCAGTCCGCGCGGGTAGCTACCACCACCCTGCCTATTTCTGCCGTGAAGCAGTAATGCGTTTCGCTTTGAAGAGTGGGGCAGCTGTTTTAACTATACTCGAGACCTTTAAACTTATATCTCAAGGTGGGTGGCGCATTTACGTTGTAGATGTCTATGGGTTCTAGTAACCACCTAACACCAGGTGGGCTGTGAGCTCGTACACCCATCTAAGCAATAAAAAAATAAAAAAACGTTTATTATACCTATAGACTCCAGTAACCATTTAACACCAGATGGTTCTTGAGTTCTTTTCTGCCCAGCTATTATAAAAAGGAGACTACGACTAAAACCTACTAAATAATAAACAACGTCAAACCCTCTGAATAATAAGCAACGTTTATCGAATTTGACTATTTTGTTGTAATAGACAAATAGGGGATTGGAACGAATGTAAAAAAACACACGCACAATGTATCTAAGAGTGTTATACAAGTAAATAAATAGCGTGTAATCGCCATTTTAGTAAATTAGTTAAGCCGTCGACGCCAAACTAATATAATTACGCGCGTCACATAACAAATAATCCATTACAAAAAAAAAACACGTAGTCCTCTCGTTAGAAAGTTTGGTTCGCTCTACTTGTTTAGTTCCGTATTTTTTTTTAAATTCTAGAGTCTAAGATTGTGGTGATAGCTTGAAAATTAATTTTGTCTAATTATTTAAAATTTTTATTATTTTATTTACGTTTTTAATTGTATTATTATATTTAATTAATTTTCATCCTTCTGGTATCAAGATTTTGATGATAGATTAAGAATTGTTTTATATAAAAAAATAATATTATTTTTGGTTTTTAATTATATTATGTTAATTTAATTGTCACCCTGCTTTCATAGAAAATAGAAAAAAAAAACTAATTAGCTTTCTCTGTTATAATTAACCTTTTTAATGTGAGTGGGTACAGAATATTACTACATATTTGCGAAACAACGTAATGTGATATCCTAAGATCGTGTTGTTGTCTGGGGGTTAGTAGAAAAATATCGCACCATAACCCTGTTTGAGAACTTTAATGCATGTTAGCTAAGTTTTGATCAATAGCTAAGACAATTTATTCTATATAAAGTGACTTTTCTTCCTTCCGCGTTCTACTTTCTCAAAACCATGGGTCAAAGAAGGTTTTGCCAAAATGTAACACAACTTTTGTAACAACAAGACTTGTGTAATAATTGTCGCATTGATGGCATCGTATCGGATTGACCGTTACGTCAGAATTATTACGCTCGCGACACGCCTACTTAAAACTAGACCACATCACCATAATATTTATATTACTATTAAACTCGTTTTTGTGACTGCAAAATTTGTTTGTTGATGAATAAGAATACAAATCAAGGATTTTATCAAGAAATGTTTTCTAGAATTCTATGATCAGAAATTTTATTATTGGTGTCTATACTCTCTGCTAATCAAATTCGGAGATAAAATTAATTTAATTTATTCCCATTTCGGTAACCAAAGCCTTCTCTTTTACTCGCGGTACGCCTTAAACGTTTTCTTTAATATCGCAATGTTTGCCCTTGATTTTAATTCATCCAATCATCTTTGATTTCGATATGTTATGACATTCTACATGATTTATAGGCTAGTCTTCAAAATTTTCATAATTTAGTGACGTATATTTAAGGCGAGGCTGATTAATAATTGTCATTAAATCTTAAGCCACTAAATGCAAGTTTTTTCCTATGTATTTCTATCTCTAGCAGTCTTAGGCTATATGCCTTCAGGTCTCCCAGGTAACCATCTCATTTGTTATCTACTCCATTTATCATTATCAAGTCCTTTTGCAGTTGGTATGTTTTCTTGCGCATGGATACTACTACATATGTTTTCCTCTTTCGTTTTATCAAACAACTAAATAAATATTCAAAGTACAAGTAATACACATTTGAATTTTGTTCAAAATGTAATTAAATCGAATAGAGCGCTAACATTGCATCACTGTATCTTAATATTTTCATAATTTTCGCAATAATATTTTAATTAATTTATTGAATTTAAATTTATAAATCTATGCGTCGGCCTACACACAAGTCTTTCGAAATTTATTTAATTTCAGGTCAAATCTATATATCTTCCGTAGTTGGACTCTGATTTTTTCAACTTAATGACAATATATGAGTCGACTATTATCAAAGCCGGCAATCTGACTTTTGGTAAATCAGAAAAACGAATTATTGACTTTGTATTCCATTGGCAGTCACAAAACTCTTCGGAACGACATCTTAGATAAATAACAGGTTAACTATTAACCTTTATTTAATGCAGGTTTTGAACCGTATTCTTTGAAGGAGACGATTATATTCAAATCGATCTGAATTGACATATCAATAAAAAAAAATTGTCCAAATGCACAGATTGCCACCTTTGATAATAGACGACTCATATGTGACATACGTTCCAAGCATTTTAATTTAAACAATATAAATAGGTTGTTCTGATTATGGCCTAAACGTTATTACGCAACGCATTGTTTTCGTGCTTTGTCTCAGTCTGTTTCTACTGGCACTTTTCTATTTTCATTAATGAGACGGCAAGAAGCTTGTGTTCGTTCCATCTGAATTTAAATTCATATTCATACATCATATTCATATCCAGCAGTTATTGGACACTTAGGCACAACAACATTATTGACGCTGCGCACCAACCAACTCGATACACTTTTTTGGAATGGAATGAAAATTTTGGTATGAACTAAGGAGTTACCTTCACAACTAGACTTCACAACGTTAATCCTGCTACCTATCTTGAGATATGAGGTTGAAGCCTCAATTATGTTTTATAAAATCTGGTCACATCCTTGAAACTGGAATGCATGATTAATTCGCGCAGACAGGATGGTTGATCCAACCATACGAAGAAAATACACGCTACCACAAAAAAATTACATCTTTAAATTAAAAAATAATATAAATAAAATAATAAAACAGTATAAAACTAAACGATTCTATTCAATTTTTTTTTGTTCTTCTTTTCTAGATTTCTAAGCTTAATGAAATATAAATGACTCCGATTAGGCCTTTCTTAGAATTGTTGAATTATTTACGTAAATTAATTTGTAATGCAATGTAAATTATTGTTGATGTAAGCAAAATTATTATTCGAACCTGTCGAATAATAAAATATTTTTAGCATGTATAAAACTAATAGAAAAACTATATTCTCGCAAGTTAATCCTTACAAGTGAAAGCTTAAAGTTTGATTTTTAAATTATAAATTATCAATTCAGTTGGTGGCTGATTTCCCACGATCCATTTTCCAAAGGTGTAAAAAAAATAAAGTTATATATATACCTTTAAAAGAACCGTCATTTTTCAAAGTCCCGAAACTCTTTGAGCACACACGTAACAATCACTAATTATTGTTCAGAACTGCACAATTTCTCGTATAATTTCAATGCATTTTCAGCTCCGGCGATGTCCTCACATCCGGCGCTGCAACTGTCGATACCAACTGACCACGCTTGCGCAGCCAAAGGAATCCCTATAATTCGACAAACGGACTATTAAAAAAAAGAAATTTTAACACCGATTACACCGAATAATTGACGAGGAAAAATGAAAACATTTCATTAGCGCAAAAGCACTTCACGATAGTAATACTATATCAAGTGACTGTACTCATTATGCTAGTTGCAGTTAATTTATGGAATTTATAATGATTTATTTTTGTTATTCTAACGTACTTTTAAAAAAACATGGATCGCGTCGATCCGTCGCTTCGGCTGCGCGCTCTGTAAATGGTCGCGCGTGTTTGATGTGGTCATGTTAAATACTGCACTACTCCATATCAGAGTGCAGAAAGGCGCACCCTGCAAATTATATTACAAGTTCGAGCTACATACAATATGTCAAAGTTCGAAACGAACCAAAATTTTGTATGACCTTTTTGCCTTTAAAAATTAAGTACATGTGTGGAATTTGTGGACTGTTGCCCTTTCGTGTATGTTGATAATTACGAAATAATTTAAAGAAACTTTAACATAATATGTCGGCTGAGTGAATATAAATAATATTTTGAACAGTTATTAGATGAATAATAATTTATATGCAAATATTTATTAAGGCGTTCCGTACAGCCCAATCGCATAGGATATTCAAATCAAACTCAAATTTTACAATTAGTAGCCTCGTAGTTCTGGTGATAGCTGATTACTTTTATATTGTAAAAATAGAGTTCGTTTCTTTCGATTCAGTTGTTAAAAGGCTTACTAGTTATTGTCGTATTTATATAATTTCTATAGTTTACTTATTCTAGTAATAGACAGTGTTCTAGTAGAAAACCTTACATTAAAGCTGTTTAACTTTAATGAATATAATTTATTAATTGAAATTTAATAACTTGAATTGTGATTGCTTTGATGGGTCAATAAATCACGCCCACAAATATAAGAACGTGAATGCCATCACCAGTACAGTACACATGAGGTCAAAATCTCAATTATTTTCTTTATGAAGCCCGAAGGCCTTTCCAGTTTCACTAGGACAGGTGGGCGAGATCAGGCTCAGTCAGGAGGAATGGGATTTGCTAAAAGCTGCCTGAGCGCCTCCGAAGGAGATCGAATAGATCAAAGACAGCTGGTTTGCGATTGCATCTACTACCCGCATCGCGATCCGCTGGGATCTGGCGAGAAACTCTGCGGGCTGATGTATGGGTTAGGTTGCACGTCGAGCTTTTTGCGAAGTTTGACGAATGCTGTTACCAAGGTCCCTAATCCGGTCCTAGAGTTGAAGGCATCTAATGCTAAGGTTAATGGATCTGATGGATCCATAAGAACGTGTGAAAGTCTCAATTGTATCTTAATATAATAATAATCTCATGAACGCATGATTCGTCCGTGCATAGATATTTATAGTAACAGAATATGCACAGTCAATAGACAGATATAATTTGAGACAATCTATACTAATATTATAAAGAGGAAAGATTTGTTTGTTTGTTTGTTTCGAATAGGCTCCGAAACTACTGGACCGATTTGAAAAATTATTTTTCCGTTAGAAGCCGACATTGTCCCTGATGAACATAGGCTACTTTTTTAATATATTTTTTTTTGGTTTCATGTGTGTTTTAATGTTTCCGAAGCGAAGCGAGGGCGGGTCGCTAGTTTTGAATATAATTATAATAATAATAAAAAAAGTCCTTAAAGTCTTGCCAATATACCTCCAACATCTTTTTTCTCGAGTAGGTGAGGTCACGGACCTCAATACAGACGACGTTGCTAAATCTAGCCCTAGCAAGACCAATGCTTCGCAGAATCTACCGCCGGCGCCGCATCGGATATGTAACCCACTGAGAAGATCCGGCGAGAGGGTCGCCTTCTGGTTTGCGTCCCGGGAGCTCACCTACGCGTTAGGGTTACGCTGACATAGAATCTCAAAGCTATTAGCTTAGGAAGGACAAAAAAAAAACGGCAAGTAATTCAGTGGGCTGTGTCTATGGGTTAATTTACTCGCCGAGCCCTTGGTCGCACGCGACGGGTTCGACTAGGACCTCCACCACCACCCACCTTTCAAACATTATAGATATATTAAGTAAAGGTGTATCTAGTACAGTATATAACTATATAGTAAGTAAAATAATTGTCTACCGGAAAGCACCAACTTATTTTATAATAAGTATAATATATTTATACTTAATATTTTTATTTTTACCCAAATTATAAAGTAATCATGGAACAATTACGATAGAATAATTGCAATAAGCTGACATAACTCACATTATAATGATCTTGTAGTAGTAAAAGCATATAATTAGCAAAATGGAAATTATCATTATTGTTCATGACTACAATAAAAATAAAATCCAACGCTTAAGTGTTATTACGGTTCGAATGGATCGATTTCAATGTAATGGCTTTTAAGAAATGAATCCGAATTATTATTACGCCATGTTTTTATTTTTACTGTGGATTTTTTTAAAGATATTATGCTTCTTTTTATGGATTAGCCTTAACATTGTTATGGGCTTCGATAACCTCTGACGGGAAATATCATTAAAGATTTTGATTCGTCAAAAAAGAAAATTTTAAAAAGACCAGTGGTTTCTGCTTAATCAAGATTCCAACGTTGGGAACTGGACATGTTTTTCGGACCTTCTGAAACTTTTTTATTTTATTTATGGGTGGACGAGCTCGCGGCCCATCTAGTATTAAGTGGTTACCAGGGCCCATAGACATCTACAACGTAAATCTTGAGATATAAATTCTAAGTTCTCAATTATAACAGTGTAACAACGCCCCCTCCCCCCCCCCATACAAACCGAAACGCAAAAATAGGTAGGGTGGTGGTACCTACCCGTGCGGACTCACAACGTCCTACCACCAGTAATTACGCAGGTGAAGCAAAAATTTTGTACCCTTTTTACGACAGTTGCGCAGACGGAGAAATATGAAATTTCCCACATTTATAGAGAACTAGCGACCCGCCCTCGCTTCGCTTCGGAAACATTAAAACACACATGAAACCAAAAAAAATAAAATAAAAAAATAAATAAAAAAGTAGCCTATGTTCATCAGGGACAATGTCGACTTCTAATGGAAAAATAATTTTTCAAATCGGTCCAGTAGTTTCGGAGCCTATTCGAAACAAACAAACAAACAAATCTTTCCTCTTTTTCCCACATTTATAGAGAACTAGCGACCCGCCCTCGCTTCGCTTCGGAAACATTAAAACACACATGAAACCAAAAAAAATTAAATAAAAAATAAAATAAAAAAGTAGCCTATGTTCATCAGGGACAATGTCGGCTTCTAATGGAAAAATAATTTTTCAAATCGGTCCAGTAGTTTCGGAGCCTATTCGAAACAAACAAACAAACAAATCTTTCCTCTTTTTCCCACATTTATAGAGAACTAGCGACCCGCCCTCGCTTCGCTTCGGAAACTGTAATTTATTATTGATTTCTCCACTATTTAATGGATGTTTTTATACATATAAACCTTCCTCTTCAATCACTCTATCTATTAAAAAAACCGCATCAAAATCCGTTGCGTAGTTTTAAAAATTTAAGCATACATAGGGATATAGGGACAGAGAAAACGACTGTTTTATACTATGTAGCGATATAGAGAAGGAGTGCAGAATGTTAATATATTTTGATATTATGCATTAAAAATACATTAAATCAATAAATAAATAAATATTACACACACTATCGTGTATTTGATAATCACAGACGCGCATATATTATTATGCTCTTTTATTTATTGTCAAACTTTTGTTTTGGTTTAAAGGCTGTTCTCAAATTGAGAATAGACTACCTAATATTGTTTCTCTTTAATATTATTTGTCTATAGCGTAGTCTTAGCGAAATCTGTGATTATATTATAAATAGTCTTTGACAATAGAATATTAATAATGTTCAAACTTATAATTTCAAATAATTATAGTCGAATTTCGACTAACCATTAGTCAATTATTAAAATCCCACTTTAAAAAATAATCGCATCGATCTCTATTAGATTAGAATCTTCAAGGGATTTTAATTACAATGTTAGACAATTGACTCTAATGTCGAAGAATACTTACATAAACTAGCTATAAGGTTAAGACGTGCCCTAGACATCCACGGGTGTCAGTCAGAAGACCATCTATCTACCTACATCTCTCTATATTCTCAAATGGTGGTAGGAACTCTTGCTTTTTTTTATGATTGAAGGATTACTGGTGGCCCGGAGGCCTTTCCAGTTTCACCAGGACAGGTGGGCGAGCAAAGGCTCAGCCAGGAGGGGTGGGATTTGCTAACAGCTACCCGAGCGCCTCCGAAGGAGATCTAACAGCTCAAGAGTAGTTGCTTCGCGAATGAATCTACTACCGGATCGGAATCGCGACCCGCTGAGAAGATCCGGCGAGAAACTCAGCGAGCTGATTCATGGGTTAGGTTGCACGGCGAACTCTTTGTCGAGTTCGACGAGTACGGTTACCGAGGTCCCTAAGCCTGCTCCTAGTGTTAGAGTTGAAGGCGTCTAATGCAAAAGTTATTGGATCTGATGGATCCGTAAGGACGTTTCTAGGGCGTCGACGGTGACTGGGTCCTGCGTGATCAGGATTCGGGGTGTAGTCAGCGGCGGCAACGATAAGGCGATTATCATGACGCATAGCCTTATCGAAGTACCGTTCCGACGCTGACTTCATGTATTTCTGGATAGAGGAACTCTTGCTATAATTATAATATTGTTCCTTCACCGTGGAAATCAATCGTGAACAATTGTTGAGTACGTATTTCATTAGAAAAATGGGTACTTGCCTGCGGGATTCGAACACTGATGTATCGCTAGATACGAATGCACCGGACGTCTTACCCTTTAGGCCACGACGACTTCAAGCGACGACTTCGACGACACTTGTTTTTTGTTGTTGTTTGTTTGGTTTCGCTAGACAAAGTCACAGATTTCCTAGTGCTCTACGATTACTTAACTTCATAGATTTAAAAGTCATAACCCAACTTGAGAGATGAGGACAAAATATAAATTATGTAAT